TTGTCAAGGCCCTGAAGGGCCATGACTCGACAGGGAGGGGAGTCCAAGGTAAGTGGTTGCTCCTTAAGGGAGCAGTCCTGAAAGCACAACGGATGTCCATCCCATCTCAGAGGAAAGGTAGCAAAAGGGCACAGCGACCTCCTTGGCTCATCAGGGAACTCATGCACCTTCTACATATAGCAAGAGAGGCTTATAAAGCATGGAAGACAATATTGCCACAATGGAGGAGTGTTCTGCACTGATCTGCACCTGCAGGGAGTGAACCAGGAAAGCCAAGGGTACAACTGAACTCCAGCTGGCTACATGTGTCAAGGATAATAAAAAGTTCTTTTTCACATATGTGGGGAGTCAGAAAAAAGCAGCGGTAACATTGGACCCCTGCTAAACCAAGTGGGACAACTGACAGGCAACACTCAGGAAAAAGCAAACCTGTTTTAAAGGGTACTTTCCATAGATTTTTCACCAGACCCAAAGGGACCACACTGCCTAACGTGATGTGGGATGGCCAGGGTGAGGGTGAATTTATACTCAGCATCTGTGTAGACCTTGTAAAGTAACACCTTGAGAGGCTGGACACCTTCAAGTCACCTGGTTCTGACAGCTTGCACCCCAGAGTACTTAAAGTGCTGGCAGGCATCATAGTCCAGCCATTGGCAAGGATATTCAAGCATTTGTGGCACTCAGGTGAAGTACCCAAAGATTGGAAGAAGGCCAGCATGGTGCCTATCTTCAAGAAAGGGAGGAAAGTAGATCTGGGGAACTACATGCCAATCAGCTTTACCTCAATCCCTGCAAAGGTTTTGGAAAAAATTGTTAAAGAGATCATTCTAGACAAGCTGGGGGATGGCAACATCTTGAGGGATAGCTAGCACAGGTTTGTTGTGGGTAGGTCTTGCCTGACCAATTTCATTTCTTTCTATGCCCAGGCGATGTATCACCTGGACAAGGGAGAAGAGATTGATGCCATATATCTGGACTTTAAAGAAGCCTTTGATCTGGTGTCCCATGGTCTCCTCATGAAAAAAATTGGCCAACTGTGGCCTCAGCTACATTACAGTCCAATGGCTGGGGAATTGGCTCCAAGGTTGGACCAAGAGAGTGGTGGTTGATGGAAGTGAATCATTATGGTGCTCCGTGCCCGGTGGTGTCCCCTAAGGTTCCGTCCTTGGACCTGTACTCTCTAATATCTTTATTAACTATGTGGACACTGGTGTCAGAAGTGGACTGACCAAGTTCGCCGATGACACCACACTTTGGGGTAGAGCGTCCACACCCAAGGATAGGCTGGTGATCCAGGCTGACCTTGATAGGCATAGAAAGTGGGCGGATAAAAACCTGATGGCATTCAGTATGGATAAATGCAAGGTATTCCACCTTGGGGGAGGGGGGGAAGAAGAAACATTTCTCACTTTTATAGGCTCAGCAGTGCTATGCTCACTAGCACCATGGCTGAAAGGGACTTGGGGGTCATGATTGACCACAAGATGAACATGAGCCACCAATGTGATCTCAGCTGGTAAAGTGAACAAAACTGGCTTGCATTCATAGATACTTCTCAAGCAAATCTCAGGATGTCATCCTCCTGCTGTACTCGGCCTTGGTGAGGCCGCAGCTGGAGACAGCATCCAATTTTGGGCTCCACAATTCAAGAAGGATGTGGAGAAGCTTGAGAGAGTCCAGAGAGCCATATGCATGATCAAAGGGCAAGAGAATAGGCCTTATGAAGGCCATGGGACTCTTCATCCTGGAAAAGCGTTGGCTTAGGGGTGACCTGGTGGCAGCTTATAAGTATATAAGGGGGGGCATCAGGATCTGGGGGAATATCTGTTCACCAGAACACCCCAAGGGATGACAAGATCCAATGGTCATAAACTCCTCCAAGATGGTTTTAGGCTGGACATAAGGAAAAACTTCTTTATTGTCTGACCCCCAAGGCCTGGAATAGACTCCCTCCAGAAGTGGTGCAAGCACTTACTCTGAACACTTTTAAGAAATGTTTGGACCCTTACCTTGCTAGGATCCTATGACCCCAGCTGGCTTCCTGGTGGTGGGGCGTGGGGCCTGGAAGACGCGGCCACAGGGCCCCGTCAGGGAGCAGGATGGAGCTGCAGATGGTTTGTCCAGGAGCTGCGGTGGGGCTGGCTCCCTGCCACAGCATGCACTCCCTGAGGAGAATGTAGGAAAACATGCCTCTCAGATCTGTGCATGGATGGGCTGCAGGCTCGGGCTCCCTGGCCTACTGCCCTCCCTCTGGGGTCTCTGTAGTCCAGCTTGCAGGACCTGGCATGAAACGGCAGGGCCAAGTAGGGTGGGGAATCTCCTTGCCTCTGCAAGCTCTGTGCCACCATGACAAAATGCCCCCTGCGTGCCCAGCAGCAGTGGGTGTGGCAGCACGGAGTTGTGCCCTTTGGTGCTGCTGGGTGGGCAGGATGCTACTTGGCGGGTAGCTCTTATAAAATACCACAAGGTTTCAACCTCCAGAGTAAGGTGTGTATAGGATATCTCAAAACCCCTAGCCCCTGTTGTATTGTGGGTACTTTTTGATTGGAGAAAGGCTAAGGGATATCACTCTGATAAAAACCTGCCCTTGCTGTGGCATTAGGGATCAGTAGCAGTTCTTATCTGTTGGTCTCTGGCAGAAGCTACAACCATTAGCTAAACATCTGGACCGGGTCTGGCCTTTGGATTCTGTCTCAGTGGTCTAAAGGTGGAGATAGTAGGTCCTGAGCAGCTTCCACTTCTCCATGCTCTTGCCTAGGTGTACGTGTTGAAGGTCTTGGTGTGATGGTTACAGGATTCCATACAGGCAGATTGATCAGGCACCTGACTAGACCTCTTACACATACACCGTAATCCAGAGGATTGATGGTTGCCTACTATGTTTTTAAATAAATTTGCAGTCTTACCAAAATGATTGTTGGGACAGGGTATAGTATAGAGAAGTTATTTTAGACAATTGGGACTTTGTATGAATTTTAAAGATGGTGCAAGAGAAGTTGTAGCGACGATGGTACAGAAATTATGCTAGAGGCAAGAATTTCTTAGGGTGCTATCTTTTATTGGACCAGTTATAGTTGGGAGAGAGACAAGCTTTCAAATACAAGACATGTCTTGCATTCAAAGCTTTTCCAAATTTCTCCCAACTACACAATTAGTCCAATAAAAGACTCCCTCATAAGAAATCATTGTCTCTTGTATTATAAATATTTGTTCAGTCATATTATGCATTAGGTGATGTGGTGTTGGAAACTACTTGTGGTTATGTCTCCAAAAAAATGTTTAGGTTATTAGTGCACCCGGGTGAGACTGAGCTTTTTGGTTATTTAAAACTGTCTTTGATTTGTTCAGGAAAACAGATTACAGAACCTTGAATAAGAAATTGTTAGCATGAGTTAAGGCTTTTAGTTTCTCGTTGGGTACTTGGGTATCCATGATTTCCTCTGCTGGGTGAGTTCAATATTTTAGGAGTTTTTCAGCAGCTCTCTTGCTGGATAGATCTTGATTCTAACCCCTGCCTCATCTTCTTGTTGCCATCACTCTATTTCCTTTCCCATGTGTTTTTCTATTCCCCTTTCTCACTTTTTTCTCTGATTTCCCCCGCCCCCCCTTTGTTCTCTGTACTATTCTGTGCATCTCTTGAAGGTGTTTTGCTGTCATGAAAGTTAAGCAGTGTAATTTAATCTAGTTTTGCCTATTCAACTGTTGTTTGCTTAATCTATGTTTATTGTATATAAATAATCTTTAAAAAATAAAATATACTTTTCTATCATGATGTGTAGATTGTAATGTATTTTCTGTCCGTACTATATTCTACTATTGTCTTCTATCTCTCCAGCACATGTGCAGTTCTTTGTCTTTCCTTGTTTATCTATTGAATCTTAAAAATAACATCATGACATATCCCACTTGTCTCAGATGCATTTTCTTTTCATGTTATCATATGTACAGACTGTCAAACTCACTAACTTAGTAACTTACTGACTGCTGCTGGTCAAAAAAAGCTGCACACTCTGAGATGCATCTTTCTTGGGCTCCTGAAAGGAAGGAGCTTGCAGCATTTAACTTTTAGGCATCTGGCCCTAAGAGTAAAGCCCAGAACCTTTTAAGTGTCTAGACTCTCTACACTCTCTCTCCAAGTTAGGCACCCCCAAAATGTGATCAAAAACACCCAGCAAACTCCACAGGGTACAGCCTTGTTTTAAGAAAAAGAATGGACTGAAGCAGGAATCAGTTAGTGTGTGTTCAGTGATTGAGCTCCTCAGGGAATTGTGACTCTGTTTCTGGATGCAAAATGAGCTTGGGCACCAGTTGCTTATCCCTGCAAAGACTGGGATAGTTCTGAAAATGTGGTCACCTGGGAAATATTAATGTCAATTGGGGAGCTGCCTGTGGAGTATTGGTCCCCCCAGGATTATATGACAGATGAGCTGGGATATTGAGGATTACAAATTTGATCTCACGTGCCTACATCCCACTTTAGGCATCTCTGTCCTTTTTGGAACTGGCCTTGAACATGCTTACATATTACAACAAGCTCAGAGGGCCTGCCCGTTGGGTTTATTCTCTGCACACTGGTATGTTAAGAAGCAACTCACTCAAAGTCATTATCTCTATTAGGAAGCAGCCCTGACATATTGAAATATCTTTTCTTTAAAATAACTTCTGTTTTTTCCTAAGGTATATACTTAGGATATTCCATACTAGAAACAGCATATTGTTTTTTGTTTGTTTGTTTTTTTTAATGCTTGTAGTGGAAGTTATTCTTTAGTGTAGCTTTCCATTATGTTACCTCTTTATAGTTTCAAGAAAATAGCTGACCATAAAGCCTGGATGCAAAAAAGTTATTTTGTGAATAGTAGTTGTTCTCTTTCTGAAGCTCTGAGCTAACCTTAAAACTATGCATGTTTAATCTTAAAACTATGACGTTTAAAACTATGCATGTGTATTTTGTTCTTTTTTTTTTTTTTTTTTTTTTTTTTTTTTTTTTTTTTTTTTGTAAGCTCTGGTCAAGATATCCAAGGAACAAGTGTGGTTGCAAATCTTCCAGTCCTTATGCGACAGAATCCTGCAGAGACACTTCGGAGGGTTTTGCCAAAAATCAGAGTAAGTTGGCATGCACAAAGATTTGCATTAACAAGATTTTTTTTGTTAATAAAATTATTGTAATCAGTAAATTAATACAATAGCTGAAACATGGTATAGTAACAGTGAAGATCATGTTTCTGCCATGGTAATTTGGAGAAAATGACCTGTATTGATTTTCTTTAGCAGTTTGCATATATATAATTGAATTGTAGATTTTTGCTACTCATCAGTCATCACAATTATTAGACTTTTTTCCCTCAGGAAAATGTTTGTAAATTTTTAACAGTTCTGCATTCTTTTTTAACCAGTAAAAAAGCTAGTTACTGTAAAGTTTACCATTGTTAGCTAGCCTGTGGAGGTATATTTGCCCATGTGTTCATAATGGTATACATAATTTCCTTAACCATGTTCCATTTTCTGAGAGAGAAACATCAGGAGTTTTCCTGCTGCCTTTTGGAGTTGTACTTTTTTTGCTTTTAGCTTTCTGAATGATGTGGCACACTCAAAACCCTTTAATATGGTAGTTTTGAAACTTCCTAAAGTCATGGAAGCTTTTCATATCACTTCTGTGGAACTCCTACCCTTATCTTATGAGGTGCATGGAGCCAGGCATCTTGGTCCAGCAGCGGCCTCCTGACCCACTCCATCGCTGCCCCCAACCTCTTTGGAACCTCTGATGACCTATTGCAGTACTCCACAGTTTCACAGAACACAGTTTGAGAAACACTGCTTTAATAAGTTGTAATTAGTTATGGTAAAAGCATGCATGAGAAGCAAGGTTTGTTTAGGAGTTTCTTTTATTGGACTAATTGCATATGTAGGACAGAGGCTTTTGGGCACAAAATGCCCTTTGTCAGGTCTTGAAAGTAGATACAGCCTAAGTTAAATACCAGGTAAAACAATTATTTGTTTTAACTCCATTATGTAAATTAAATGTTCACTTAAAGGGCAGTAAACCTGTAGAGCAAACATGACTATAAACAAAGTAAGGAGCAAATGAAAGATATACAGTTGAGCTGTATCTACTTCTTTTCCAGATCTTTTCCATTCACTGTGGAAAAACACGGAACATGGCAGATTTCCCTTTGCCGGCTGGCAGAGTTCCAGCCTGCAAGAAGTTGCAGAGAGTGGGATGCAGGGGGCATCATGCAGATATGTGCGTGGGGAGGGGGTAGATGTGTGCTGCCTGCTGCAGACTCGGGGCTGCCCATCCTGCTGCTGTTTCCTTGGGAGGCCTGTGCTAGCCACACCACCCTGGTGAGCTTTACCTGCCTGCCTGGCAGCAGCAGGGATGGTGGCAGCGTGGAGGCTCTTGGGGAGGAGGAGGAGGGCAGCAGGGCAGGGAGTCCTGAGTCCACAGCGGGCAGCCCACATCCGCCCCTACCCCTCTGTGGGCTCCACTTGGCTCTTCTCTGGCTGTGCTGCCAAGGGGTTCCGGGGGGGGGGGGGACCATCAATTTAGCCCTCCTGCAAAAATAAAAGTAGGTATTTATGCTCCCAACTACATAGCTGATCCAATAAAAGGCATCACCAAACAAACTTTGCTTCTTGCATAATCCTTCAACCATCATGGCTGTAACAACATGATAACCATATTTATATGTAGCAAGGATGTATACTGATGTACAAAAAAAGTGTGTTTTTCAGTTAGTCTTTCACAGTTGAAAAGACCTGTTAAGATGCAGGCTAGTGTGTCTGAAGCCCCAATGTGCTACAGTTCAGGCAGGTAGCATAGCTTTAAAGGTGTTGTTCTGCATCTTGTAATGCTTTTCAATCAGTTTGGGGTAGTTGAGGTAGAATCATCTATAAAAACAATATCTAGGATTTTTTAATGATGGGATATATCTGCCATATCTTTCTGTGGTTCATTGGATATATTTGCCATGTCTTTCATTGGTTCCTATTTCTGCTGATGGAATTCTAGAGCAAGCTCGAACTTTTTTTACTTTGTTTTTTTGCAATTGAATCTGTTTTTATTAAAATCACAGCTTTCTAATTAGAATTTGGTGCCTAACATGCAATTTAAATAGGGTGATCTGTTTTTAAAAAAAATAGATTTTACTGTATTATTTGCTATACTGTGTTTAAGTCTAACAATAACTAGTTGCTGCTTTTCACTGTTTTAAGCCTTGGATTAGATAATACATAAATTGGACACCTGCTGTCTCATACTTAAGTAAATGTTCAA